AGTCAAGATAGATAAATCCCAATTCGAGTGCGCGTTTCACGCGACTCGACCACAACTTCGAATAATAATAATAATAATAATAATAATACTAATAATAATAATAATAATAATAATTAAAAAAAAATATGTTGTAAATCGCGGGTGCGTTTTACGTGACGCGATTCGCAATATGTACAAAAACAATAAGTGCGCGATATCGCGAGTTATTTAAATAAATTTCATAAATCCTAAAAGCAATTAAAATTCTATTATAAGCGGTTAGAAAGCTAAAAATGCACAATAGTTCCTAAATATGTAATTATCAAATAATTAGGCCAATTATTAATAGTTGAGCGACCGTGCTAAATCCACGGAACTCGGGAGTGCCTCACACCTTCTTCCGGGTTAACAGAATTCCTTACCCGATCTTCTGTATTCGCGGACCGTACAAATAGAGTCAATTTCCTCGGTTTGGGATTTTATAATAAATCGGTGACTTGAGACACCATAAATTATCCCAAGTGACGACTCTAAATTAATAAAATAATCACATTTCAATTGATGTCACTTTAATTGAAAAAACTCCTTATTCCCTCGAAAAAAAGGAGGTGTGACATAACAGATCCTTCACTGCCTTGAAAATCGATATTTATGTCAGAATCCATCAAGTTATTTCACCTGTCTCGAGCATTAAATGGAAACGGCGAATGTCGCTTCAATTTCAAAACATGTCACTATAATTTTGGGACAAGAGTGTTAGACATGCTTTCTCTTCCAGCTAAAATTTCTACCACTTCCCGTATACTCATTAGCAGCCATTTTAAAAGTGAAGGAACTATCTGCACTAGTAAAAATGGACTCGCCACGTGGATAATATAACTGGCGACACGTGGTTGATGATGCTCAATTAGCCTTTACGAGGAATTGTCAAAAGAATCACATCGAGCAATTCAAGATCTACGAGAAGTTTTCTTTCTTTGTAATAAATTTTGTTATCCTTTCTTACTATTGTCACTGAAATCATCTATTTTACATTCGCAAAATTGAGATAAATCGGTTACTTGTGGCCTTACTTTACAAATTTAATTGATTTAGCCTATTATCTAAAATTTCAAGTTAAATAGTTAGTTCATTATATGCTTTACAAGTTATTTTGTTCATTCAAGTTAGTTTACAAATTTCTACTTTTTTACAATTTGATTAGTTTTTTCATTAAACAATTCTTATTCGTTTTTAATCAATTGTTGAGCCTTGTCATTTCAAGATGAAGTAGTTATACATCATTTCCACTTACTTTATATTTTTTTTCCTTAATTTTTGTACAATTTTATCTTCTTTTAATATTTATTTTTATTATATTAATATATAAAATTTTAAGGATCAGTGGGGCTTACGTCCAACGCCTCAAGGTTTACGCTCTGCCTCGCGCCCCACTTTTAAAAATACTAGTTTGCATAATATATCCATGTGAATTATTGGTGGCACTCTTCTTCTACCATATTTCTAACTTTTGTCCAAACTTTATGGAAATATTCAATAGTTAATGAACACTGAAAAGAAAAGTAAGAAGATCCATCAACATAGATAATTTTAATTAAAAGATGGCAGCAACCAGTGATGCATTTAACATTTATTTTCATCGAATTTCTTTCAGCTAAATCCTAACACAGATAACAAATTAGATATTGGGAAGAGAGATCTCTTGCTTCTTGTACTTCTCTCTGAAGACTGGTGAATTAATCAATATCTAGAATATATTTTCTTTTATAGGGCTTTAATTTACATGCAAAAAAAAAAAGAGAAGTACAACATTAGAGAAAAACCAGAAGCCGGTAATTAATCTTGCGGAGTTTAAATTCAGATTTTGGTTAGTGTTTGAAAATACTTTTGAAAAAAAAGTATTGTGTTTGAATTAAGTTTTGAGAAAGATGTTTTAAGAGAATACTTGTATCTCTTTTGTGACCTCTAGGGTTAGGCTCCTTTTTTTGGGTAAATCATTTTGGTTTGTTCTTTTGGGAACTTTTTTTCAAAATCAAATGGTGCTAATTTTGAATTTTGGAAACGTAACCCAAAGTGAAAGTGCTAAATTTGAAATTTACTACTTCCATTATACGTCATTGAATTCAAAACTCCATCATAAGCACTTCTGCAAAAGTCACTTTAGTTTTAAATGTTAGATTATTTACTTTCACTTTTTTCCTTATTGTATATTACACTCTTTTCTTTTAATTTATTTAAAAAATATTAATAACTCTTTATGTATTGAAAGTCAGCAGTATACTTCCATTTTATGTTATGGTGGCGAATGGAGCTTTGGTTTTTGTGAGTTTAATTGTACTCGATGTTTTTAACATGTAACAGAAATATAGGCAGAATGGTCTAAATGACATCTATACTTGTGTTACTTTGTTATGTCAGTCTTTCTACTTCACTTTTTTTCATCCAGACACTTTAACTTGTTCAAAATAAATATTTTAAACACCTCTGACCATTGACCAAGCACATGTGACAAAATAATAGTTGAGCTAGACAAAGTAGGTGTGTAGGTGTAATTGATGCGGATAATGAGCTTGAATATGAACATTTTGATCCGAAATAATTAAAATAAAAAAAATCATTAAAATAAGAATGAAAAATAAATAAGTAAAAAATAATAATAATTCAAAAACCCCATCCTGTACGCTTCTTCTTCTTCTTCCCCATTGCCCCCCACCCAACAACACCCCCGCCCTTTTGTCCCCCCCCCCCCTCCCCTCATGTACGCTTCTTCTTCTTCTTCCCCACTCCCCAACATCCCCCTCCCTTTTCGTTCCCCTCTGTACGCATCTTCTTCTTCCCCTCTCCCCTCGAAATAACACCCCCCTCCCTTTTCGTTCCCCCACGCTTCTTCTTCTTCTCCCCAAAAAAGAAAACAAAGAAAAACAACTCAATTAGTAATTTTTCAATTAGCTTTTGAGTCCATAGATGTAATTGTTTAGAAGAAAAGAGGGAAAATGTATCTCCTATCCAGGGAATCCCATCATCTCAACATGCCGAAAGATAGAAGGATGAATTCCTTTTCTTCAACCGGGCATTTAACATCTGATGATAAGTGGGTAATTAGAGGCTTAAGCAGCAGACCAGGTCTTCAACTGAGAAGAAGCAGAACGTGGAGGAGATTCATGGAATTGACAAAATGGATCAAAAGATAAAAGCCAGCTCTTTCCTTTTTCATCTCTCATTTTGTAATGAGGCAGCAACTGTACTAATAAATGATAAGCTAGACTATGAAGACTCAAAATTCCTTATGCTTGCAACTCAAAGAATTCTGACCTCGAGTCCCAGAAGTCTCTATCACTAGGGTTGGGCATATCTCGGGTATAACCGATAAATCGAACCGATAAAATGCCATTGGATTATCGGTATTGGGTTATTGGGTAAATAGTTCGATAACGGTTTAATGTTATTTGACTAATGGGTTATCGGTTCGGGTATCGATTTGCCCAATTTTATTAACGGTTTAACCGATAGCCCAGTAAGCTTTATCAAAATTATAATTTTATCCACTAAGTATATAAAACCACCTTATGGCTTCATTGTCTCAATTCTCTCGGTAGTTACTCTTCATCTTCTGACCTTAATCCTTAGAGTAAGTTTTAATCTTTTCTGAATTTCTCATTTTAATTTTTCAATTAGGATTTTAGTTTTAAACTTTAGAGAATTACTTGTTCAAATTTTTAGTTTTTCTATTTGTTTCTTTTGTTGCACTGATTCTTTAGTATTTACAAGATTAGGATTTTATTATTTTCCAATAAATTATGCCCGTCCGCAGAGAGATAGTTAGTAAGATTAGGTTGTTGAATGTCTTATCTCTTACTCCTATTAACTTATAACTTTGAAAATTGTGATCATTCATTGAGATTTTCAAATGCAAAGAAAGTTTTATTTTCTAAGTTGAAATTTAATGCCTCTTCTCTTAAGAGCAAAAATTCAATTTCTTTCTCTTAATAGTATGGTCACGATTTTTATAATAAATTTTTGGATAGTTTTTATTCTTATCGGGTAAACCGATAAGGATTGATAACCGACTAACCGATACCCGATAACCGATATCTTATCGGTTCGGTTATCGGTTTAGTATATTTATAAATCGATAACCGATATGAAGAACCGATAATATTCACAACCGAACCGAACCGACCGATGCCCACCCCTATTTGCCACCGGTTGAGAATGATTTTCTTTTTCTTTTTCTTTAAGGAAATAGTGTATAATAAGTGATTTTAGTAGATAAAATATAAAAAAATAACGTGGAATATGATGTATCATCCACGTCAAGCAAGTGAGATACACACACGGTCAGAGGGGTTTAAAATATAAATTTTGAACAAGTTAAAGTGTCTGGATGAAAAAAAGTGAAGTAGGAGGACCGACATGACAAAGTGGCACAAGTATATGTGTCACTTAGGCCATTTTGCCCAGAAATATATATGTAAAAGTTAGGAGATTTTAACAAATATTAAACCTTTTACCATATAATGTCAAAAGTACAATAAATTTAATACTAGAATTTGAAAATTTTAATCCATCAACTTTAATTTCTAAACCCACCCCTACTAATGATAGACTATAATTCTATTCGTATGATTAATATAGTTATGTAAACATAGTTTATGTGTTATAAATGTCTTTTTTTTAATACATAATACTTAGCAAAATAGTCATATAAAATGACACAGAGAACAATAAATATTTAATTTGTTCTGTTTAATAGGAAATTGAGAAGGAATAATAACGAAAATGAGAAGGAAAAAAAAAGGCCCACAGCGGTCCCTAGTCCCAAACAAACTGTAATTAAAAAGTGACACTTCGTCTGCTTATTAAACGCATGGAATTTATGCACCGATATTTACGTGCCACGTGGCATTGGTGTCTCGTTTCTAGACCTTTTTTTAAAATAAAGTGAGGGTAAATCTGTCATTACACCTCGTCCGCACCTCGTCCCACGAAAAAAGCCGTTGCGCTGCACCACTGCAAAAATAAAACTACTTCTCCCTCCGATTAATGATCTATGTAGTTCACACAAGTGAACACTGAACGCTGTGTGTGTGTGTGTGTGTGTGTGAGAGAGAGAGAGAGAGAGAGAGAGAGAGGATTTGTTCTATAGGTGTGCATTTCTGTCTATTTTTCTAGGAGAATTTGAAAATGGAGGTAAAGCTCCACCAAATTTCTTACTGTTCTATCTGATAAATTGTTGCGTTTTTTTTTTTTTTTTGGCTACATTCTGTTTTTCAACTCTCATCTTTCAACTTATTGACTGCATTTGACGCGTAAAATTTAATCATCATGAACTGAAAACGAAACTTCAGGTACACTTATATTCAAGTTCACAATTGATTCGAATTTATAGTTGAACCCATTGAGTTTTCGTTCCTTAGTTGTATCTGTCTGTACTCTTTCTGGTAGTATTTTGCTCTGCAATTTTTTTTTTTTCGCTATTCATGTTTTCCCTTTCGTTTAATTTTTCAATTTAACTAGCTGTATTTAACGTTTAAAGCTTCATCATGATCATCATCGATGAACGATGCTTCGGTTTCTCTAAGCTTCAAAGTTCACCCTTGATTTCAAATTTATAGTTGAAAAATATTTTTTCTCAAGCTGATTTTTGTTGTTTTTCTTAGACTATATCTGAAACTCGATCAAGCCGCATCATTTTGTTAACTGTTGGACTTTATGAAACTTCTCCGTGGTTCAACTTTTGAAATGAAACTTGACAAATAGGGCGGATTAAACAACTAAATTAGAATTGAGACGTAATTGTTTTTGTTTTTGAACTGTTATTAAAAATGAAGCTGATGGTTTCCTCACTTTTGAAATCTTAGATTTTGTGTATGTGTAAAGAGGATTTAGTAATTCTGGTAGTTAACATGACATCTCTGTTTGCTTCGGTTTTTTTCCTTTTTGGTTGAAATATTCAGCACTAGAATTGAAGCACGGTGGATTCTGACCGTCCAATTGCAACCCTTATCTATCACTACATTCACTACCTTCAGTGATAACGACACAGAAGGTGGATGCACTCTCTTTCAATATTACTTCTCTATTCACTGTTTGATATACATGCTTTTGTATTGTTGCCGTGTCAGGGTCCACTCGTGTTTAAAATTTTCCCAGCTTCACAGTCACTAACTTGGTCTTGAAACAGATTTGGGTCCCTACATTGGTCCCCATTAAGCAAAATTACCATGTCTTTTTTATGCTTCTCATGTAATTTATGCTTAATTTGAAGAACTTAACACCAAAGTTTATACAAAGTGTTTAATTACACTAACTTAAGATGTGGATCCAATATGTATGTAATGAGTGCATTTGCGTCCATTAGATCCATTTATTATTATTATTATTATTATTATTATTATTATTATTATTATTATTATTATTATTATTATTATTATTATTCCCCACTCGTGGCATTATACTAGGTTTTTTGTTGTTGTTGTTGTATTATTATTATTATATTATTATTATTATTATTATATTATTATTATTATATAGAAAATTTAAAGAATATTTTTGAATTACGTACACTCCATGTGATAAGAGATGCACCCACTACCTTTAAGTCCTATACTCGTAAATCGTCTTCGCAAGCATTAGTTAACCTTTGTAATTGTGTGGTATAAGTTGTTTAGTACTTTCTATGTTAGGTCTTCTGGGTATAATAACTCTAGTTTGATTGATCATTGTTGTTTTTCTTCACAAGCATAACTAATATTGCAGCATGCTAACTGTCTTTACTCTTCTGTTAGCAGCAATATGAGAGAGTTGTGCTTGCTTTGACGTTTCCTTTGGTGATCCTGAATCATGATGTTGTTGTTATTAGTATGACATGAGTTTTTAGAAAGAGAGGATTGGATAAAAGTAGACATGGGGGCTATTGGTGGTGAAGAACAGATGAAGTGGGAGAAAATGCAAGGGACGGCACTGAGTGGTGAAGAGAAGATTCTGGTTTTGGTGAGGTTGAGGCCTCTGAGTGAAAAGGAAATTGCAAGGAATGAAGCTTCTGATTGGGAATGCATTAATGAAACCACCATTTTCTATAGGAACAGTTTCCAGGAGAGGTCTGGACTTCCAACTGCTTATACTTTCGGTAAGAAAACTGCCCATTTCAAGCCTTTGCATTTAGACTTACTGTTACTCTTAATTCACAATGGAGAATGTGATCATTGAGAGCTATGTAAGGGTTAGATCTCAAGTACCATATGAAAATGATTTGCCATTGTAACAGATGTTATTTTTCCTCTATCTTATTGTTGTTTTCCCCCTGAAAATAGACAAAGTGTTTAGGGGAGACTGCACAACAAGGGAAGTGTACGAAGGAGGAACAAAGGATATTGCCCTTTCAGTTGTCAGGGGAATCAACTGTGAGTGTTCTTTTTATATGTCTTTATATTCTTATTTTCATCTCCTTATAAAGTGAAAGACATCTTATCCATTACAACAATCTAAACATATTATTTCAGCAACTATCTTTGCGTATGGACAAACAAGCAGCGGAAAGACATACACCATGAATGGAATTACTGAGTATACAGTGGCAGATATATACGACTACATGAAAAGGGTAAATCTTTTTGACTACATGTGTTGCATCTCATTACTAAATGGCATTATATTTGCTTTGCATTGGGTATGTTCAGCTGTAAATACTAAATTGTATTTCTTCTTTATTTGCTTGTTCCTTGAGCTTTTGCAAAGGTAATATTTCCTTTTTCTGTCCAGCATGAAGAAAGATCTTTTGTTTTAAAGTTTTCTGCTATGGAGATTTACAACGAAGTTGTTAGAGACCTCCTCAGTTCAGATAGTACTCCGCTAAGAATGCTCGATGATCCTGAGGTGGGTTTCTATTTCTATGTTTTGCAGCATGTGTAAAAGACACAATAATTTCTAGTTCTGCACACAAGAACTGTCATCGAAAAACTCCAAATAATTTCTAATAATTATGAGTTCTGCAGAAAGGGACCATCATTGAGAAACTCACAGAAGAAACTTTACGGGGCTGGGATCATCTCAAAGAGCTCTTATCCATCTGTGAAGGCAGGTGTATTACCCCATCTCTTTTAGATTCTATCAATGTCTAGCAGGTGGCACCAAAATTAGTTTCTCCATGTATCACAAGTTTTGTGGCCCTTTGCAGCTCAAAGACAAACCGGGGAGACCTATCTTAACTTAGCTAGTTCCAGGTCTCATCAAATTCTAAGATTGGTATGCCCCTGTTCTCTCTCTGTCTTGAACAATTTCCTGTGAATTGTGTGATACATGATCCAGGAGGAAAGACTTATGAACTGGACTCTTTTGGTTTTGCTTTCTTCAGACAATTGAAAGTTCAGCTCGTGAGTTTATAGGGAAGGAGAACAAAACAACTCTTGCTGCGAGTGTGGTACCTGTCAATTAATTTCCTTTATGATATTTTTTGGGGCATCAACACATGACCTCCTGATGGAAGGTTTATGATCTTTGAATGAAGAACTTTGTTGATCTGGCGGGAAGTGAACGTGCATCTCAGGCGCTGTCTGTTGGGCAAAGACTGAAAGAAGGCTGTCATATTAATCGCAGTTTACTGACCCTAGGAACTGTCATTCGCAAGCTCAGGTTGATTGCTTCTCTCTTAAATCACCTTCCTGATAGGGTGCAATATCATTAGTTGATGAAACTATATATGAATGGTTAAGTATGTACCAGATTTCTGTGGTCAGTATTCCACAATTCATGTTGGGGATGTCACCTTTGCATATCCCACAGACTAGTGAGGTTAAACTTTAAGCTACTAATATCTTAGTATTACGTTGTTTTATGTAAATTTTCATAGTATCAACATTTATCTAAACCATGGATGAGTCGTTCCTTCTTTCACTCTCTATTAGCTGTTTATACATGCAATAACAGTGTATTTGGTTCATAGTCTGTTTTCCTACTTCCTTGGTCTGAAGCACATCTTTGTGTATCTATGTTGATTAATTGCAGCATGGAAAGACATGGGCATGTGAACTACAGGGACTCTAAGCTAACACGTATCCTTCAACCTGCGTTAGGAGGCAACGCGAGAACTGCCATTATTTGCACCCTGAGCCCAGCACAGAGTCATGTTGAGCAATCTCGAAATACACTTTTATTTGCCAGCTGCGCAAAAGAAGTGACCACTAATGCACAGGTCAATGTAGTCATGTCCGACAAGGCCTTGGTGAAGCATCTACAGAAAGAGTTAGCTAGATTAGAAAGCGAAATAAGAACTCCTATAACTACTTGTGATCATGTGGTATTGCTGAGGAAGAAAGATCAGCAGATTGAAAAGGTGATCCTTCTTTCTTCCTAAAGACTCTTGTTCGTGTGCTTGCAATTTAGCAAAAGCCAACAGGAGTTGTACGATGTCTGGAAACTCAGACATGTTTTGTTTTCTGCATATCCCGATGCTTCTGATAAAAGGCTTCTCTGCATATCCCATGCTTTTGACAAAGTATTGAAATCACTTTTCCAGTTAATAAAGTACTTCACTTGTCTCATCTTATATGATAGTATTTGACTTGACATGGAAGACACATGTTAGTTTGATTTCTCTGTTCTACCAATGATAGTAAAATAAAATATTAAAATAACGGTTGAAAAGTTAGTCTGATAGAAAAACATAACATCAATATTTAAAATTTGTGTAGTTCAATGAATAACTCAATTCTTTTATAAAGTAAAATCTTATTGGCAAAATACAAAAAGACCCCATTAAACTTGTCCAAAAAACAGATTTCAACAGAGAAACTAAACGGGTGTTCTTTTACCCCTAAAGGCATTTGAAGTGAATTATTTTCCTACCTGAAACAATAATGCCAGTCTCACAATATGAGGTGTTTTACACGCGCGCCATGTCAAAACCATGTCAATACTGGACTTTCAAGTGCTATAGGCTTTAAAGGAGTTACAAGAACTGGAGGCTTAGATGGTGGCGTTGGAGTTTCTGGACTATCCCAATTTTTACATGGTGGTGGCGAAGGCAGAGGCGGTACACTAGCTGGAATACTAATCGAAAGAGGCAGTGGCGGCGGTGGTGGTGGGGCAATGGAAACTGGCTCAATCTGCTGTATCTTATTGGTGATTCTCGCTGGAGATTCAAGATTCTGATCCCAAACATTGAAACTTCGGGGCGAAGAGTCAATGCTTCTGCTTGAATATCTCTCCGGTGATGATGAGCTAGGAGGAGATGGTGAATCAGATTCATTCCCCATGACTAATATCGGCACAAAATTTGCTCGCGGCAGAAGCGGAGGCGGAGGCGGAGGCGGAGGAGAATACTGAGGTGGTGGAGAAGTATGAATAGCGACCAGTTCCGGTGACTTAGGCATTAAGCTTTTCGGACTCAAACTCACCGGCGGCGAAATGCTCAGTGATACAGACAGAACCGGTGAACCCGAACCGGAACTGGAAGATGAGCTGGACCTGGACCCACCACCAAAATTCTTCACCTCAACGGCAGCAAATGCCCTACGTGACGCCGATCAAGTACCGACTAAAGAGATCTGAAGAATAGAAAAGAAAGGGCCCCACCTTTTACGCGCTTAATTATTTTTTTATTTTTATGTTTTCGCCACATCAGCTATTAGGGTGGAAAATTATTCATTTCAAATACGTTTAGGAGGGTGAAAGAACACCCGTTTAGTTGAAGTGCTCAAACCTGTTTTTTGGAAAGTTTAATGGGGTCTTTATGTATTTTGCCAATTTTATTTTACATTTAGTCAGATGAAAGCATCCTTATTTCAGGTTTTAGCAGTATATGCAAATGTTTTCGTAAATTGAACATTTCTAGTGACAATATTTCCTGTCCAATCTGGAAAAGTTGGTTTCTTTGGCAGTTACTTATGAAAGTAAATCACTATACTATCTATCATGTGGAGCTCAGTTCGATCTGACATTATTTTGTTTATAGAATATTCACTTGGTTTATGTGGTTCTATATGCAGTTAGAGAATGAAATGAGGGAATTAACTAAGCAGCGTAATCTTGCTCAATCCCGGGTTGAGGATTTGCTGCGGATGTTTGGAAATGATAAAATTTCCAGCCAAAGGGTTTGTATAATGTCTTGCGATTGAGTTAGACATTCGAGCTGTCCTTCATTTGTTGCTTATATCTCTCAAACTTTTCAGGGTGCATCAAGTCTACTTCCTAAATCACTAGAAGGGAGCATGTTTGGAGATGAATGCTCAGTATCTGACTCAATAGCTAAAGCTGAGTCATATAACAGGGACAGTGAAAGTGATGTCACATCCTATGCTATACCTACTCAATGTAGTGGCAACTTTGGTTTGCCTGATCGATATCAAAGGAGCAAAAATTTCGCTTTTGTGACAGGAGAAGATTCTGATGATTTTTGCAAGGAAGTTCAATGTATTGAGGTGGATGAGCTTGGTGGAAATAGAACCTTTGAATCCTTTAGCTTATCAAACTATGAGAATGGAGAAAGAATATCTCCTCCTTCCAGCAATGGACATGTTGACCATAGGGAGCTATCACCACTGTCTCATGGACAAGCTAGCAGCACTAGAAATTGCTTTCCTCATGGGCCATTGGAGCAGAAAATGCATGACATACAGAAGACTACAGATTCTCTTGCCAGATTTCACCCTCTTGATTCATCTCCATGTGCCCTTTCAACAAGTATATCAGGCTATATAAACATGAAATTAACAAGAAGCAGGAGCTCTAGAGAAAATCTTATGATTGGCTCGTTTTCACCTGAATCTGGGATAGTAGAACAAAGAGAGACTACCCCAACTGACGAGCAAGGCCTCCAAAGGAAGCACTGGAAATATCCTCCATTAATTTACGGGAAAACCAGACCTAAATTGTCAAGAAACAATTCACAGTCCTCTAACTGTAGCACTTTCATAGATGAGCTCAAAAGTGGCAGCAATGCTCCTGGAGATGAGGATATCCCGAGTGTTGACACTTCTGTGGCAGGCCTGAAGGAGATGGCTAAGCTTGAGTATGATAATCAACTGCACAATCAGGTCTGGACTATATTCATTCCTACTTAAGCTTGTTTAGGGTACCTTGTTTGTTTTCTTCCTGTAAGTTTTGTTTGCATGGCTTTACAGTTAGATATGCAGAACTTACCTTGTGCGTGCCATTTTGCTGTGGTCAATTTAGTGGCAGATAATGCTTGCATATCCACTTTCTTCTCTTCCATGTTTGTGGTTATTGCCGGCAGTGGCAGAAAATAGTTATTCAGCTAGATCAGTGCATGCAGAGATCATAAATTAGACTCTCTTGTTAGTTTGCTTTTACTCTGTTTGTGGCAACTTTATTTTAGCAATTGGTTGAATTTTTGGATTGATGCGTCTGCCAAGCCTTTTCCTTATTAACTGATGTCAGAATGTTCTCGCTCTCTTTAAATATCTTTACTAGAGAAATTCAATGTCAATAAACAACATCATAGACCGGAGCAATCACTTGGAAAAGCTGGTCTTTATCCTGAACTTTGTCCTCATTAGATGCATCCTGATATCTGTGCTAGGCTCAAGATTCTGGGAAGTCGAAAAGGAATATAAAAAATGTCGGATTGGATCCTATGCCACTCTCATTGGAAGTTCCTTCAGATTGGCCTCTTGAATTTGGGAAGCTGCAAAAAAGGATTATTGAACTTTGGCAGACTTGCCATATTTCGTTGATCCACAGGACATATTTCTTCCTGCTGTTTAAAGGTGACCCTTTGGACTCTATTTACATGGAGGTCGAGGTTAGAAGACTTTCATTCCTCAAGGAGACATTTCTCAAAGGAAATTCAGCTTTTCAAGGTGGTCAGACAGTCGGTCTTGCGTCAAGGTAAATTTGCACCTTGCTGCTCTCCTCTACACTCGTTTAATATGTTTTGTCTCCTTTGTATTTTTATACACTCCCCTCATGCATTCATGTAAATTAGATCAGAGTTTTTTAATTCTTGATACCCTTTTAATGTGTTTGAACCATATAGGCTGGTAAATTAATAGCTTGACCTAATGCTATATATCAAATCTTGATATATTGCACCTGTGTATCATCTGATAATTTGAATCAAATTATCTTTTCTCTAATTACAGCCTTAAAGCTCTTCGCCGTGAGAGAGCTATGCTAAGCAGGCTCATATATAAAAGGTTTCCAGGAGATGAGAGAAATGAGATCTTCCATAAATGGGGCATAAAGTTAAGCTCCAAAAGGAGGAGACACCAACTGATTCATCGTCTGTGGAGCGACACAGATATGAATCACGTGATGGAGAGTGCTGCCATTGTTGCAAAGCTGATTAAGTTCTCTGAGCAGGCGCCTGCTCTAAAGGAGATGTTTGGGCTTAGCATCATACCTCCTCCACGCATGTTAACGATGTCCTTAGGCTGGAAGAACAGTTTGGCATCTCTACTGTAAGCTTCTGGAACTGTGGTAAGAAGAAGTGAAATTAGTGGTATGCTTATTGTTGCTCGGATCAACTGCATGTTTATCAACCTCATTTTAATTTTTAATTACTCATTCACAAAAAAAAAAAAAAAAACAATATAATTTACGAATCACACTTGGAGAGGGAGGAACCAAAATATCTCGATTAGTGTCACCATTTTACTTATCTCTGATTTTTACCATCCAATGAAATCAAATCCGCTCTCTGTTCTTCACATATGAAACTTTTCCGCTCTACATTTAACAAACTGATCAGCAATCATGTCTTGATTTTCCGCTAACTATTTCAGGTAATCAATAACAATTGGCAGCTTGCATCCCCTTTGGTTCTATTTTGAACAAAGTTCCAAACTGGCTCTTGAACAAAGTTTAACTATGCAGTTGTCACGACCCGAAATTCCCACCATCGGGACCGTGATGGCGCCTAACATCACACTTGTTAGGCAAGCTAACGTTAGAGTATTACTAACCAATTCCCTTTACGATTCAGTGAATAAAAGTAAACAAGTTAAAACAAGTGATCATAACTGCGGAAGTAAGTAAACAGCTTCTTTGTTTATAAACTATTGCTAGAACTATTACTACTACTACCCAGAATCCGGTGTCACAATCCACGAACGTACTATGATTATCTACAAACATCAGTCCGAAAGAAATTACAACTGTTTTGAAAATAAAGAAAATAGTAATGTAGAGAGGTAGAAGGGGACATCAGGGCCTGCGGATGCCAGTAGGACTACCTTGGGTCTCCTAGTTGGATGTATCTGCAACCGACCTCTCGATTAGCCACAACCTGCTCCAAAATCTGCACAGAAAGTGCAGAGTGCAGTATCAATACAACCGACCACATGTACTGGTAAGTGCCGAGCCTAACCTCGACGAGGTAGTGACGAGGCTACGGCGGGGCATTTACAATATAACCTGCATATACTGTATAATAAAAGCAGAAAGAAGAACAGAACATAATAAAATAGTAACTTGCAAGGAATGAATACAGAACTCAAGTATCTCATCAATACCCAGCTGTAACCAACCATTAAGTGAAACGCAAAACTACAGAATAACTTGCACAGTAGAAGAAAGATGCATAAACACATACACTGATGCGACGCGCATTCCGATCCCACCATATAATCAATATCGATATGAACATTCACCCTTATTCCTCCTGTTGCGGCATGAAACCCGATCCAACCGTACAATAGCAATTCTCCCTTATTCCTCCTCAATATATTACCCTTATTCCTCCTGTTGCGGCGCGCAACCCGATCCCACCATATAATAGCATGTCACCCTTATTCCTCCTCAATATATCGCCCTTATTACTCCTGTTGCGACGTGCAAACTGATCCCACCATATTAGTACTAATCACACAATAAGAACATGAATTTCATAATTTAACTCAAAACTCTCCACAATATTTAAACCTTAAACTAAAGCAAACGGAAAGTTGTACAATTATGAAACTTCACTCAAATTATACTACTCAGCGAAACCAATCCAAAATATACCATAAAACACCGATAAGCCGACTTGAGCCAATAATATGAGACAATGAAACTAAGGAATAGCTAATACCTTCAACAATGAAAAACAATGTCTGACAAGTAGCAATTAAGCATGAAAATACCAGTGAAGCATGTAGCAGTTAAGGCAGGACACAATATATTATGAACGGGAAGAAAACATGCAAAACAGATAAATTGGCGGCGCATAGATACTCGCTACCTCACTTATACGCCACTCACATGGATTTTCACATAGCAATTAAGTCAAAGGTTCCTAGTCCCTCGAGTCAAAGTTAGACACAACACTTACCTCGCTCCATGGCCAAACTCAAAGCTCAATCACAGCTTTTCCCTTCACACAAGCCTCCGGACCAATAGAATCTAGCAAATTACCAACCAAACAATTTAATTTAAGCCTTAGGAACTACCTACGATTGCAAGGAATTCAATTTAGGCAATTTGTGAAAAAGTCAACACCCGGGCCCGCTTGGTCCAAACCCGAAATTCGGACGAAAATCCAATAACTCATTCACTCCCGAGCCCGGATATACAATTGGTTTTGGAATCCGACTTCAATTTGAGGTCTAAATTCCCAAATTTTGAAATCCCTAGTTTCTACCCAAAAATCCCCAATTCTACCATGAAAACCTTAGATTCTAGGTTTAAATCTTGTAAAATGAAGTGAAAGATCGAAAGAAACTAGTTAAGAATCACTTACATATGATTTGGGAAAGAAGGAGTCTTTGGAAAATCGCCTCTTGTGTTTTAGGTTGTGAAAAATTAAAGAATGAATGAAAATTTCCGTCCAAAATCATTTTGACCAGTTGCAGGTATCGCTTTTGCGATTGCGAACCCCGCAAATGTGAACTTCACTTCTAAATGCGAAGACTGACCTGGGCCTACTAACATCGCAAATGCGAACAATTGTTCGCAAATGCGACCAGTGCTGATCGCAATTGCGATACTGAGCTTCGCAATTGCGAAGGTCCCCTCCCAGCCCTACTGCTTGCAAATGCGAACTTTCTTCGCAAATGCAAGGCTCGCATTTGCGAGCCACACCTCGCAATTGCGATGTCTGCAGACCTGAAGCATACCAGCAAAATTTCCTAAGTTCAAATCACTTTGTAGCCTATTCGAAACTTACCAGAGCCCTCGGGGCTCCAAACCAGACATGCACACAAGTCTTACAACATCATACGAACTTGCTCGTGTGATCAAATCGCCAAAATAACACCTAGAACTACAAATTTAGCACCAAATCACATAAAATTCTTAAGAACACCTTGAAATTCCATTTTCACAACCGGACGTCCGAATCACGTCAAATCGATTCCGTTTCTCACCAAATTTCACAGATAAGGTATAAATATTATTTTGGACCTGTGCCGGGATCCGGAATCAAAATACGGGCCCGATACTAACAAGATCAACAATTAACCAAATTCTTAAAGCCATTTAATTTTTACTCTTTCAATTTTTATCAAAAATTTATTTCTCGAGTTAGAGACCTTGGAGTTCGATTACGTGCATACGCCCAGGTCCCATATTTTGATACGGACCCACCGGGACTTTCAAAACACAAGTTCGGGTCCGTTTACTCAAAACGTTGATCGAAGTCAACTAAATCAACTTTTAAAGGTAAAAATTATTATTTTTATCAACTTTCCACATAAAAGCTTTCCGGAAACACGCCCGGATTGCACACATAAATCGAGGAGGAATAAATGAGGTTTTGAAGGCCTCGGAACACGGAATCGAGTTCTAGAACATAAGATGATGTCATCATAGCAGTGCATAACACTTTGCCAGCAAAAATATCTTGGTGCTGGGATTGAAATAACAAGGCATCGTGCAAAAGCTAACAAAGAAAACCTTAGTGACGATAAATAAAATATGAGAAATATATTGTAATATGATTTGATCAATTGAGCTACATATGAGAAAACTAATATGAAAGAAAAACTATTGAGAGAATAATCTCAAGACTATCTTAATGACTACATTGTGGATAATATTATGTTATTGTGTGAAGGAGATATCCTTAATTTGTATAGGCTCATAACTTTTTTTTCCAAGGAAGGGATCTGTCGAATATAGAAGAGATATATTTTTTCCTTTTAGGAAAAGTAAATCAATTATGGTAAATATTTTGTCATTCCTTCAAGTAAAAGAAATATTCAAATATGGTATGAAAATCAGGGCAAACCCTAATAATTCTCCCTTTTGGCCTAAATTTTCTTGATAAAACTTGATATGTTTTCTTCACATCTTCATCATTATTGCTTGACATAGTTAAAAGTAGGTACAGATTGAAAATTGAAGTCGTGTGTGTTAAAATTAAGCACGAGTTAAAATTTTTGGAGCTCTGAATTAAAAGTCAGCAGGTTTAAAAGTCAAGCCCTGCGTTAAAAGTGAGCAGGGTTAAGAGTGAGAGTTCATGCACTAAAATTAAGTATGAGTTGAAAATTGGAGCTCATAAGAATGAGTTAAAAATGGTTTTTGTTTTTAAAATTTAGCGGCAGAAATATTGAAAATATGATTGAAAATATTGTCTCCACATGTAGTATTACGGACAATGTTTTTTTTTGTTGACAAACATCTTCATTATCATGAAATTGGCCATTGCTTGATCTAAATTCCTTAACCTGTCTTCAACCTCGCTCTGATACCACTTTTTAGCATCATGCAGAATTAACAAATCAAACCTTGGTGACGATAAAACAGATAACAAAGGAGAAATTTATCAAAAGATAATATTTTAATATGACTTGGTCAATTGACACCTACATATGAGAAAAGTAATGTAAAAGAAAAAACTATTGAGAGAATAATGTCCTTCTAGACAAGACTTTTTAGTGACTACATTATGAATACTATTGTTTTATTTTATGAACGAGGAATCCTCAATTTATAGAGGTAAGAAAAGGGATCTGTCGAATATGGAAGAGATCTATATTTTTCTTTTAATAAAAGTAAATCAATTATAATTAATGTTCTACCCTTCCTTTAAGTAGAAGAAAATTTCAAATATGGTCAAAAAAAAATCAGGGCAAACCCTAATAATTCTCCCTTTTGGCCTAAATTTTCTTGATAAAACTTGATATATTTTCTTTACATCTTCATCATTACTGCTTAACATAGTTAAAAGTAGGTATAGATTGAAAATTAAAGTCGTGTGTGTTAAAAGTAAGCACAAGTTAAAAATTTTGGAGCCCTGCATTAAAAGTGAGTAGGGTTAAAAGTAAAGCCTTGTGTTAAAAGTGAGAGTTCATGCGTGTAACGATCCGGTCAATCGTTTTGAGTATTACAGCCTCATTCCCCCCATTTACTGCTTATTCTGTGTTCAATTGTGATTATGTGACTTGTCGGGGAAATTTCGGAATGAATTGGAACACTTAGTTCCAAGATTTAAAACTTAAGTTAAAATAATTGACCGGATGATGAATTATGTGTAAACGACCCCAGAATAAAATTCTGATGGTTCCAATAGCTCTTTATGGTGATTTCAGACTTAGGAGTGTGTCCGGATATTTATTTTGAGGACCGTACTTAAATATAG